GTTTTTTTTTTTTTTTACAACTGACCAGAGTCCTCGGTGCCGCCCGTCTCCTTGACCAAGTAACTTATTYAAACTCATTTTGGCTCATGTATGAGAGCAGACTGAGCTCAGGCTGATCTGAACAGACCCCTGTTTCCATGAAACAGGAACATGAGGACTTCAAACCTTTTTTATTGCCTGTTGAACATTGAATGTTTCTATCACAGGGATGAATCCAGGAACATGCAAAGGCCCTGATTTTGGATTAGACTTGACCTTTTGGCCACTTCTAAGAAGGCCCCACCCTGACAAAGCTCTTTRATCAGCTTATCTCACTTAGTTGAAGCCGACATATACATGTGTTTAGAAATGGATGTGGTTTATGAAATAAATTTGAAATAAATACAATATTTTATTGCTTTTTTCAGGCTTAGTTWTAATGCAAAGCCTAAATACTTTGTTTGCTCAGTTCTCGCTTGTTTTTAATTATGACTTTTGCAAACACTATTTTCAGCTCTGCTCATAACTTTCTCCTGTAATAAATCAACTGCATGCGCTCACACTGACAGGGCATCTGTTTGAAAACGAGTTTACAGAAAGGGGAAMTACAATAAGTTATCTGGGCTTTACAAATGTTTATAAGGGTTATGTTGTAAAGCTGTGCTGGATGTTTATTGTTGTGGCAGCCGACAAATAAACAAGATGAACACAAACTCATGGTTGAACTGCTCAAGCTGCCGTTAAAGCAATATCAAACTAAATTTGTTGTTATCATAACTATCTGGCTGTGTCCAAAATGGCAGGCTGGGTCCTCCGAAGGCCGAATTTGTCGGCCGCATACGTCACAGCGCCGCAACGAAGGACGTCCCAAACCGAAGACTCCTCCGATGCAGCCGACAAATACGTCCTTCCTTTGGCCCGAATCGAAGGACAGGCCAGATGGATCCTTCCCGGCCCACCATATCCCATAATGCATTGCGGCCTGACCAGAGTTTTTTTAAAGTGTATCTTACCCCCCTGTGAAA